AGTGAGTAGGTTTTTTCATGAAACGAAATGGGGTGGAAACAACTCAAATATCTGATTTACTGGTAGTCTCAAGAACCTAATCACTCACGGAAAAAGTAATGCCTCGATTGCTATAGCAAATATAGGTTTGTTTAATCGAAAATCCCAACAAAAAATGTGATAAGGAAAATGCCTGACATTCATTGAAATTCACATCCACCCTGTAACCCAATTTCCCTCGTGGCAATGCGGCCTGGTGGCTGACGTGTCGAGCTGACATGCTGAACTGTCATGGTTCGACTCCCGGTTGGGGTGCTGATGAGACCTAAGCGAGGTCGAACCGGCAGTCCACTCGGGATGAGAACACCTTTTGGGAAAGCAAGGTTATGTGAAACTCAATGGATAACGTCAGTTGTACTCATAGCATTGTGGGGAAACGCAACTACCAGTCCTTCATCACCTCAAACAAAATGGGAGTTTATGTGTGTTTATAGCTAAAACTAGTAATTACAGTCTCTCTAGTCCGAAGTCAAGACTGGTGAGATCCGAATTCTTTCAGTTGAGAAATAAAAAGACTGGCTGAAGTGAAGGTGGTGCTTTGATGTGGGTCGAAGTGATGGAAGCCGGAAATAACTGAAGAGAAGGAATGCTGAGGGCACGTGGGCAAAGATTGTCTTGACAATTAATAGGTGTTTCTGAGTAAGAGGTATATTTCACTTTCATCTTTTATGACGCGGAGACGCTAAATTATACTCGGAAAGTTCCTATTCAAGAATATATAAGTCTCTAAATCGACCCACTTCCAAATAAGTAACGTTCCTTCAGGCGCTGGCAATCTTGATTACGCCTGAATCTTATTGGCATTAATTGCAAAAAGAAATTTGAAATGCTTTTTAAAATGTATTTTGTGACTTTTGATGTGCATGTATTTGTATAAAGCCAATTGCTTTGTTGACTCTAATTCACGTTTCCAGGGGATCGCAAAGACACTTAATAATCAAGGCCTCTCTAAATTCCATAACAAATGGAACATTTGCTGTAAACTGTTAACAATAAATGGGGCGTGATCCATTTGCACACAAAAAGTAGATATTTGAGGACGAGATATTTTGGACTCTATTTTTGACGCAAGCACGTTCTATTTTATTAAATCTGCTATTTGGAATATACATTTTTGTCGTAAAGCTGCATACGCCGATTTTAGCATTAACTACGACTCCAAGCATACTCACCAGACTTAGAAATTGAGCATTGGTAATATTCGGCTAAATGATAGAAGCCCCTCGAGCAATGAACTAAAGCATTATGCATTTATTAATTGAATAAGATGCAAGACTTGAAATGGAGAATATTCGGTGCAGGATGGGGAGAAATATAATTTTTGACATGTTCTTAGTCCTGATTTCCTTTCTGCTATCAAAGAGGATCGCCAAACTTGTGAGAAAGTTCATCAGGTCCTGACCGCTATTATTGAAATTTCTGACCCAGTATGAATAATTGCTGGCCAATTTGGGCCTGGCTATCTTTGGAAGTTCCGTCTTCCTTGTGACCTGAGGGCATTCATGGAAGTGTTGCGTAGTGGTCAACCTGTCAAGACGAAATGCTGCACTTCCCGGGCCCTAGCCCCGCCGGGTGTGCTGATGCGCCCAGTTAAGGCGAGGTCGAAACTGCAATCCATTTGTACAAAAAATACCCTCTGGGGAGCAGTGTTATGTGAAAATTAATGTAAACATAAGGCCTACTAATACAATTATGTGAAATTTCAAATACCAGTCCTTCATCACCTTAAACAAAATAGGAGATTATATGTTTTTATAACTAGAGCTAGTAATTACATGCGAAGAAAAATTGTGTTTCGAGGAAGCTCTTGTTTCATAACTGTTGTGCTTACTTCCATTTCAAGTGAAAGTGTTTGGTA